GGAACAGGGAGCTTTTGTTTCCTGTACCCGGCCGGACTAAAAGGAAGTGCACTTACTGTTAGTCCGGCCGGGCACAGGAGACAGATGCTCCCTGTACCCGCGGACCATACAGAGCTCGGCCACGCTACAGTGAGGGAGTGCTTAGCGCTTCCCTCCTGTCAGCCCCTCTCCTCATGCTGCGCGCGGGCGGTGCGCCCTCATGGACGCACCAGCCTGGGCAAAGCTGCAGTCGCCTGAGGCTCTCTCCAGAGCACTCAGGCAGCTGCAGCACGAGGTGGCCGCCGCTCCTGGCGGCGCCCTAGGCAGCTGCCTAGTCCGCCTAACAGGTAGCGCCGGCCCTAATTGTGCCATGATGTCTAGTTGAAAGGAAAGAGTGGAGTTGTAGAGTGAGTTTGCAGAGTTAGGGCAAGTGAGATTTGAGATGGGTAAAAGGAGAGTTTGGAGTCTAGTGGAAAAATGGGGGCGATCAAGGCAGTGGAGGTTTTTGCGAGACTGGAGAGTTGAGGATGGTGAAATTTGGGTACGGGGTATGCCGATTTCAAAGGTCAACAAATGGTCGTAAGATAAAGGAAATGGAACATTGGAGAGATTAGAGGTGGTACGGAGATTGGTGAAGATGAGGTCAAGAGTGTTTCCTGCTGTATGAGTTGCTGAAGTAGACCGCTGTGTGAGGCCAAAGAAGAAGGTTACAGAGAGGAGATGGGAGGCATCAGGGCAGTTGAAGTTGTTGATTGAGATGTTAAAGTCCCCAAGTATAAGGGAAGGAGTGCTAGAGGGTAGAAAGTGGAGTAGCCAGGAAGAAAAGTGTTCAATGAATAGCCTGGGATGACAGGAAAGGCGATAGTTGATAGTAGTTCTTAAAGGAGTGGGTTTAAATAGGCAGACAGTGTGAACTTCAAAGCAAGTAAAGCATAGGGCAGGGGCAGGGAGGATAGGTTGAAAGGTACATTGCAGGGAGAGAAAGATGCCTACACCACCTCCTTTACCGTTGTTGGGTCTGGGAGTGTGGGAGAATTGTAGCCCACCATTGCAAACCATCAGCATGCGGTTGGTTACTGCAGGTTTGTGTTTAACATTGTATTGACTATCCACAGACTTCAGGTGGAAGGGGTTTTCAATCACAATTTTTCCCCCCACCGTAACCTTTTTGGATTTTGCTTCCCAAGCACTACCAAGCCTCATTAGCCAGCCAGTAACCAACCTCATGCTGATGATTTGCATAAACCATGAAACAGCTGTCCATGAGAGGTTCACTGGCTTTGCATCTTTTCCTAAATTTTTGTTTAACATTGAATTGACTATAAATGTAATAAAGAGCATGGGGAGGGGCAGGCGGGCGGGCAACTCTTTAACTCAGACTGTGGAAGACAGAGATGATAGGCTCAAAAACCCCATGCAATAAAGCCATGGAATGGAGAACCATAGAGGCAGGGCTGGATTAACATAGGGGCTGATGGAGCTGCAGCTCCAGGCCCAGGCCCATGGAATAGGCCCATTTAAAAAAACACACTACTCTTAGGTTTGCCACCTGACTGGTATTTTAAGGCTGCCTGGCCGTGCCGGTATTGCAGTAATACCAGCAATAGAAATGCAAATATTTTTCTCTGTATAAATGGAGATTATGCTGCAATACCAGCACCTGCCAGTAGGGGTCACTGTGTGTGGAGAGAGGCAGGGATATGAAGTTACAGCATCTCCCTGCCTCTTTCTACTCTCTGATCTGCCGGGGAGCAGCTACACAGCACAGAGAGTCCAGACAGCAGCTCCCAGCCTGCAGAGACAGACTACAGCCCAGATATGTGAGGGATGGAGGAAAAGGCAGCAGGGAGACATGGGGACACTGAGACACCAGGGGACACATGGGGACACTGAGACACTAGGGGACACTGGGAGATGTGGGGACACTGAGACACTTGGGGACACTGTGAGACATGGGGACGCTGTGAGACAAAGGGAGACACATTGGGACACAGGGACACAGTGTCTCCATGTCTCCCAGTGTCCCCATGTCTCAGTGTCCCCAAATGTCTGTGTCCCCATGTCTTCCTGTGTCCACATGTCTCCCAGCCTGTGTCCCTATGTCTCCCAGTGTCCCAAAATGTCTGTGTCCCCATGTCTCCCAGTGTCCCCATGTCTATGTCCACAAGTGCCCCAATGTCTCCCAGTGTCTCCAAGTGTCTGTGTCACCATGCCTCCCAGCCTGTGTCCCCATGTCTCTCAGTGTCCCTAGTGTCTTAGTTACCCCAAATGTCTGTGTCCCCATGTTTCCCAGAGTCTGTGTCCCCATGTCTGTGACCCCATTTCTCCCAGTGTCCTCAAATGTCTGTGTCCCCATGTCTCCCAGTGCCCCCATTTCTGTATCCACAAGTGCCCTCCGTGTCTCTCAGTGTCCCCAAGTCTCTCAGTGTCCCCATGTCTCTTAGTGTCCCCTAGTATCCTATTGACACGGGAGACATTGAGACATGAGGACACTGGGAGAATCGGGGACACTGGGAGAATCGGGGACACAGATACTGGGAGACTAGGGGACTGGGCAACATGGGGACACTGACACTGTGATACATAGGGACACTGATGCCAGGCTGGCCTTCCAATTCTTTGGACAGACATGCCCCCTTTTTGGGCATGTTTGCCCCTTTTGACAGTTCTGGTCACTTGGTTCGCGTCAGTGGCACATCCTTTTACCCTGCCCATTGACTTCCTGCTTCAATGAACACAACTGTGATGGGGTATGGATTTACTTGAAAGATTAAAGCATAAATTAGATAAAAAGATTAGCACAGAGTATGTGTTTTCTTATAGCTGCATCCTTTGAGTTTGCCACGAAGCATTGGAGAAGCCTGGTTGCTCGCCTGTTGCCCTTGGACTATGGCCCCATGTTAAAAAGCCTTCTTCTCCCCTGCAGAAAAGCCTTGTTCGTGCCTTTCTGCCCGACGTTTGGTAGATTCAATCTACTGAACAAACAACCGAATAACTGGACCACCTGTATTGGGAGTGTGTCGGCAATTTACCTCCCAGAAGCTGTGGTTAACTGCAGCTTAATTGAAAAATGCTGGGGGGCCTTTGTTCGTTTGCCGAACATGTGGCGGCGGCCATTTTAAAGTCCCAAACGGCCAGCGGTGTTCAGCGCCCAAACTATTGAACTGGAAACGGACACTTATTTGCACAAACCCCACTGAGCCGTCAGCCTGCTTGCATCTGCATTCGGTCATTTAACTGGATGCCTGTTCATTCGGTAGTTTAACCGTATGAACAGCATTACCCCAGATAGCCATGTCATGGAGCCTATTCGTGTAACCAAAGACTATGGGAAAGACTTTGGCTCCATGGCGACTGAACTGTATGCATGTGATCTGAGCGCCATCCAGTAATAATGTGCGCTCAGATCTAAGCTATCTGGGGATAGATAGAATGTATATGTTTTGTGCAACAGTTGTAACTTTATACATTTTTATGTCTTTTACTGTCTTTTACTGCCATGTGGTTAATGGAGTTTTGCCTCTGTCCTGGGAGATAATTGGATTACTTCCCTATTATCTCCAGGACAGGGAGAGGGAAATTAGGATGCATTGTGGAAGGTTTTACATCTGTGTGTCTGTCATTGGTTCATGTCTGTCCTTTGTCACAGTCTCCCATTTGGTCCCGTAGGGGAGTGTCCACCAGCTGGGAGACCTGCATAAATACTGGGCAGGTAGCCCTCAATAAACCAGACCACTGCTTGACCCTCAACACGGAGCTATGTCTAGTCTTTGGGGGGATTTACTGTATGCTGTTAGAGACTGATAGCCAGGAGTGTAAGCCGCTTGGGTGCTTTTCCTGTTCGTCTGCTAACAGCTATTCGTGAGGTTCCAGTTCGGGAGTTTGGAGTGCTACTTTGTATGCAGTTCGGGAGTTTGAAGCATTCCCTTGTATGCAGTTCGGGAGTCTGGAGCATTCCCTTGTATGCAGTTCGGGAGTTTGGAGTATTCCCTTGTATGCAGTTCGGGAGTCTGTTGTTCTGCAGTAGCTGTGCCTGTGTCTCTGGAAGGGAAGATCTACTAAACGGCGGTTTTACCCTTTTATGCCTGGGGGTGCCGTTACATGACTGTTTTAGTGTTTTTGGTCGATAAGATTCTGTAATTAGGCCCCATCATAATTGTCAGCACCAGGCCCAATTGGCTCTTAATCTGGCCCTGCATAGAGGAGGTGAGGATTGGTCAAGCATGACATTCGGGTGGGTATCAATAAAATAAGGGGGGTTTGCAGAAATAACAGATAAAGCATTTAGAGATAAGCAGATAGGTGAATAGCATTTAAGTGAACAAGCCAACAATTGTACAAACTACCCACTGGCAATTATTGATCTTAAAAACTGGGACAATGTGACCAATATAGCAAATGCCAGTCGAGTCACATGGTGAACTTTACTTAGCACAAATACACTACAAATATTTGGGCAATGAATACCGGGGATTGATGAAAACACAGTCTACATTATACTTATGATGCTTTCACTACAAGATAGTAATATACTCCCAGAAATGGATAACCATAACCCATTAAATAAGGGGTGGAGTAGGTGGCATACCCATAATCCTAACATATGTGATATTTTGTAAGATAAAAATCGATATCAAGGTTATAGATATTATATTAATTTTTACCTGGTCTTAAAAATTGATTGTCCAGTTACGAGAGCAAATCCACTCAGAAGTGGGCAATCTTAAAAGGAAAGACAATTAATAGATCCCTTATAATAATACCAAAATCACATACAATACCCCTACCCTCACTAAGAAATCTGAATCTCAAAAAATTAATATGAACTTTGGGGAATATGAAAAACAGTACTCCCTGTGGTGGACTATATACTATTGCCTTCAGTTGCCCGTACCTATCTCCATATTTCCCGAATTGAGCCGTACCCCTTTGTTGGTGGACCGAATGCAGCATGTGTGATCCCCCCTTTCCTACCCTTCGAACAACGACCACCCCTGGCTCGTTAACCTCAAAGGAACAATTAAGTCAAGTGCTTTCCCTGGGTGACCACCATTCGTGTATCCGAACAAGTGCTGTAGTGAAAGACTGCCATTTTGTCTCCTGAACGCAGGCAGCAGTACATGATCGTCGAGCGTCTGGAGCCCGCAAACGCCAGAGAAACTTATATCGCTGCTTGTTCCTCTCCCAGACCAGTTAGCAGAACGGCGTTCGTGAGATAGGAACTACCGAACAGGGGGAGCATTCACTCCCTAGTAGCCAGGAGGAGTGTTCGTCGGTGTTCATGCAGGAACCCCCAAATATAGACTGGCTGCCGACCCTTTTCTTGTGGAAATATTCTAAGCTACCACCTCGTGGCCAGCCAGTCAAAACTTTACCCGAATGGTGAGTTTGTTCTACCAAACAGATCTGAGCGCTATTTGGACAACTTGGGCGCTCAGATCTGGGTTATTTGGGGATGTAAGATTTGTGGGGTTTCTGTAATATTTTGATATGTTTTTGGGGTATTTTGTATAATTTGTATTAGTTCCTGTAGTTAGTCTTCTTTTGACTCAATTATCTCCCAGACACAGGGACGCCTGGGAGGGGCTTGTGTGATTTTCAATCGAGACCTCATGCTAGGGGTCTGTGCATAAAAACCTGAGCTTTAAGCTGAAAAAAACAGTTGACTCCCAGAACTGTGTGTCATTCAGTTACTGGTGGAATGGGCTATTATCACTGACCAGCGCTTTCTTCCAGCTCCAATGAATTCCAGCGGAAATATTCGGTCTCAGGATTGCAGCTCCACTACACTCTCCTTTAGAAATCTGATGGCTGCCATCTACTATCAACTTCCTATAGTCCTGTTGGGCATCTTTCTCAGGACTGATTTTTACATTGGAACTCATAAACCCAAAATTAGATTTCAGTCACTTTAATAGATGTGTTTGTAGTTAATAACATTTTATTGGGTCCCTTCCACGTACTTTATGATAGTGAACCTTATTATCACGTAATCTCCAGGAACGATGGCATGAAACAGTTGGTTGTTTTCAATGCACAGCTGTGACCTTAGAATGGAGGCACTTCAAATGTTTTGTTAGTTGGATGCAAAACAACATTATCAAATGAATACTCTTATCCTATGTAACTCAATTCCTTTAGACTGTCAACCTATACTCGACTTACTCATCAGAAATTTCATGTGAAGACAGCCCACGGCCCTGGACTAGAAAAACTGCATACATTTACTGTATCATTTTTTTAATGTCAATGTAGCAATTTTCTTGAGAGACAAGCATTTTTTTCTTGTAGCAATAAGCGTAATTGTCATAAACGACAGGCCTACAAGCTCCATGTTCTCATTTGCTCCAACCTAATGACCACACCAGCCCTTATAGTCTTTTATCCTCTGATATCAACCCAGGATTTCTATACTCTCCTAAAAATACTTCTGCTGCTTCTACAACACACATATCTTCTGAAATCTTGTTTCTGCATTAGGTAACCGCCCTATCTTGGAATATTTCACCAATCTGCATTACGTAACCGTCCTATCTTGGAATATTTCACCATTCTGCATTAGGTAACCGCCCTATCTTGGAATATTTCACCATTCTGCATTAGGTAACCGCCCTATCTTGGATTATTTCACCATTCTGCATTAGGTAACCGCCCTATCTTGGATTATTTCACCATTCTGCATTAGGTAACCGCCCTATCTTGGAATATTTCACCATTCTGCATTAGGTAACCGCCCTATCTTGGAATATTTCACCATTCTGCATTAGGTAACCGCCCTATCTTGGATTATTTCACCATTCTGCATTAGGTAACCGCCCTATCTTGGATTATTTCACCATTCTGCATTAGGTAACCGTCCTATCTTGGATCATTTCACCATTCTGCATTAGTTAACCGCCCTATCTTGGAATATTCCACCATTCTGCATTAGGTAACCGCCCTATCTTGGAATATTTCACCATTCTGCATTAGGTAACCGTCCTATCTTGGATTATTTCACCAATCTGCATTAGGTAACCGCCCTATCTTGGATTATTTCACCATTCTGCATTAGGTAACCGCCCTATCT